ATCGATATATTATATAATGCCACGGTTCCCTAGAACTTAATATGAATCATAAGAGTCGTGATAAATAAGTTAATCTAAGATATGAAAGTTAATAATGTTTACTTTGTTACACACCTCATTATAAGTGATATAAAGGGCGGGCTTAATGCCTTATGGCGTTCTCTACCAGTCAAATTGTTTGCCCTTTTATTTAATACAAAAATAATAAAGATGTAAGATACAATAAAATGCAAATATATAGAATAAAAAGAATATACACACACAACAAAGAACATACTTAATACATATTCTGTAATATAGAATAAATAAATAAATAAATATATAAACGGGTACTTATATACAAAATATATTAATAATTTTTTATAGCTTTGGGTGACAAACGAGCACACAGTCCACCTAATGGTAAGTGGGTGCTGTAGCCCGTAGACATCTTATACATCGTAGACATTTATCCTCAAATAAGAATCAAAATGCAAATGCGTTGTCACCCCTGAGAACTAAGATGGAATGCCTCGATTCCAGTAAAATGGGTCTCCGATTCTCTACACTCACCATATGAAACACAACCGCATTACGCTGCTATTTTACACTGGTATTCTATGAGAGCGTGGTACTGCTCCGGTCGAGCCGACCTATTCATGCTACGACTATAATATAGCTGCAGCTTGGCTCTACCACGTGAAAAAATAATATTTATATTAAATAAATATTTTTTTTTCTATATAAATATATTTACATTATATTGAGCTATATACAATTTAAAAAAAAAACTAAATAAAATAACGAAAACTAAAATCATTAACTATCGTACGGTTCTCCCTGTGGTGTCGTGCCAAGAACGCTATCTGCATTTCCTCGCTGAATGGTTATACTTTAAACGGGAAAAAAATAATTATTAAATATAATTTATACTTTTGATCGTTGTCAGTGAAATTCCATCTTCATTTATATGGGATTAATTCATGGTTTTATTCGATCATGATACCTTAAGAGGAAACTGGTCGGTTTATTGTAATATCAATACAAATAAATAAAATTGAAGTGTCCAATTGTAATATTAAAATAACAGCTTTTTACTTAAAGCATAATAATAATAATAATATCCTCCAGACCGTATTCCTGCCACGGCGTCCTGCCTCAACGGAGGCTAGCCATCGGCGCAGGACAGGATTATAGTGCCCAAGTGTATGCGCAAGCACAGATGCACTCTCTATTCGCTCACTCTCGTAATACGATGGGACGGTAAACCGACACGACCGGAGAGAGATCAGGCGCAGGACCATTTTCCTGACTCCGGGCAACTACTGAGAATTTCTTGACGGAAAAACTCAATAATTAATTTTTTGGCCCGACCAGGGATTCGAACCCAGAACCTCACGATCAGCAGTCGCACTACTACAACCACTAGACCAACGAAGCAGTCACTTAAATCATATGAAAGTATATACGGCGTTCATAACAAAAATTGTCTGTCTGTCAGTTTGTTCCGCCTAATCTCCTAAATGACTGAACCGATTTTGACGGGACTTTCACTGGCAGACAGCTGATCTTATATGAGTGACTAAGTATAGGGTATATATATATACATATATATACAACATGTAACATAATTAACGCACTTTGAGAAAGTAGTTTGTTCAGAATCGTTTACTGAATCGATTCCTATCATTTTTAATATAGGTAATTTTTTTACAGTCACACTAAATCTGTACAGTCAAAACAAACTGAAATGGACCGTAACTTAAGGCAATAAGACTTTTAAGAGTGCAGTTTTATTTGTATTATTACTAATTCTGTCATTCAATAAAAATAAAGAAAAATGAACTTTATTTCAAGCACGTTAAAGTCTTTGCGTTCGTGGATTTGTAGTGTGACCACAATATTCTTCCGGAATTAGTATAACTAATTTGATAAATAATCAGTGCATAAAAATGTTTAACTAAAAATTCAGTATATGTATTATGATTATAACATAATATACTAATTGGGGTGTCTGAGGGTGTGCGTTAATTACGTTACATATTGTATATATATATATATATATATATATATATATATATATATATATATATATATATATATATATATATATATTATAATAATCTCGTGGACATTGTAAACGGAAACGGGGCATTGCACAAACAACCACACGTTTTGTTAGGACGCTTCGAAATGGTATTTTCACGAAAACAAACTGAATACGCATGAGAACATAAACAGCCTATATATTACAAATTGTATTTATTCGTTGTTATGTAATGATATTCATAAGTTTCACAGAAAAATAATAAATGCTACAATAAAACGAATAGATAAAGAAACTTTTGCGTTAATTTGTATCGTTAAAATTACCTTCTGTGTTTTTTTAAGAGCAGAGATAACTGAATGAAAGGTTCGAATGGAATCTCATTAAAATAAAGCAATGACCGATAGAATTATGAGTCATTTAAAAAAAAATAACAATGCTTTTTATAGATTGAATAAACAGCACCATAGCAATTATAAAAATGTCATTGTTAAAGTTTGTTTTAGTTTACTAAGATGTCTAATATAACGTGGTGGAGCCACTTTGCAGCTATATTATGGTTGTAGCACGAATGGGTCGGCTCGACCGGGGAAGGACCACGCTCTCACAAAAATCATCGTAAAATAGCAGCTTAATGCCGCTGTTTCGTACGGTGAGTGTAGAGAACCAAAGAGCCCTTTTACTGGAAACAAGGCATTCCATCTTAGTCCTCAGGGGTGACAACACATAATATAAATATAATTTGATCTTAATTGAGGCTATCCTACATCTATATGCAGATGTCTATGGACCACGACCACAGCATCTACTTATCATCAATTGGACTGTGTGCTCCTTTGTCACCTTAATTCTATAAAAAGAGTTCCAATTAGATATTTTTCTGGCGTTTAATAAAAACAAAAATAAGTACAGGTAATTAAACGCGATGAAATCCGTAAAATTTATTTTATTTTATATTAAATAAATTTGCAACATATCTCATTGCGGTTAACATGCATGTCCATCAAAATACAGCAAAAATTACTGAACTTGAAAATTCACAATAGAACCAAAGCAACCGATACAGCCCTACGGATCAGTAAGCTGAAGTAGCAACGGGCCGACCGTAATGCTCGAATAATCAACAACCGATGGGGAAGGAGGTTTCTCCTGTAACAGATTCATACTGGTAAGTAAAGAGTACGGCGGCCCTCAAATGGAGTGACGATCTGGTAAGAGATGCAGGTGGCTCAACACCGTGTTTGTGGCGTTCCTTGTTAGAAACCTATGTTCATCAGTGAACTTGCGAAGGGCAGCTCTCGGGGTTGGCAATGCATTTTATGTTTTGATTCTTAATCGAATAGCGTCAGATGAACCGGGTGCTCGTCAGTCACTTACTTACCTTTTCCCTTGTAAGAAAATTTGGCAAGAATTCGATATAAACAGGACACAAGATACCTTTCTACTGATTACAGTATGTTATTTGTATTAACAAATTAATCCAATGCAAAATAACTATTATTGAGATCATTTCAATATTTTCCATAACTACTGGAAAATATAAACAATTTTTTACTTCTACTTTAAAATGAACAATTACTATAACATTATAAATGGAATATTATATGGAATTCAGATTGTAGAAAACTACTAATGTTACATTTAGGCAAAAATGTTACATGTTCCCATGGATCTCATTCTTACATAATACTTACTAAAGAACGATAAACTAATACTTTTGGCTTATCGAACTTTTAGTTCTTTAGACTCTTCCATTCATAGTTACCATTATTACTATTCATCAAAAAATCCATCCATAGAAATAAGTTCTAATCGTTATTATAAAAAAGTTCGAACAAGAGTTCTCAGTCATAAGAACGAATTACATTTAAGTTTTAAGTTCGATTATGCTACAACTATCACAATAATAACTTTTGTAAATTTCTAAAAAAAACATCAAGAATTGAACATTCGTTTCTTAATAGACTGCACATTTCTCATCTCTCTTCGTCATGTCTTTGTTAAACAAAAAATATAAACGAATTATTAGATTCTATCTTTTTTTTAGTTCTATTTTCAAAAATCAAACCACGATTAATACTTTTTTTTCAGTAAAAAATGTATCAATTATCAACTATTCAACAACAACAAGAGCGTCCATTTTCTTTAAACGCATGCAAATTTTAATGGTTTTGCGCAATAATGACAGTACTTATAAATATTAATGATGCTGAATATACATATAAAATGTTGCCTAGTTTAAAGTTTACTTAACAGACCTTGATAACCGGTCACGACGGTGCATGTTTTATAAAATAAACTTCTTTACACAATCGTGTTTATCCAGCATTTGAAAACATGCAGTCATCCAATTAGGCCTTTAGCTTAGTCACGTGTACAATTGGGTGGTTGAAACCGTCATTGATTAATTACTACGTTTTAGTAGTGCCTTAAAACGATTTTCCGTTTTACGTTAAGTAAGGTTATAAGGTTTTGACTACAAAACTATCACGTCTTTACACTATAATTACAATTGCATTAGAAATGTTTGTTCTGTCAACTTTTGAAAAGTATTTCTATTGACTAATATCAAAAACCCAGTTTATACTTGGTAAAAACAAATCCTTATTATCTTTTTTAATGTCTTATTTTCACTTCACCTTTTATAAAGACTTGGAAGTACTTTATTACTTACATGATTGTAAGTAATGTACGGAAATGTAGACATAATTGCAATCAAAAATATATGAAAAAGTAATCTATTGAAAGTAATTATGCACATAATACTATACTTTTAAAAGAGCAACGACTTTATATATTAAAATATCATTACGCATCGATAATATTAAATAAAGAGAACACTTTCATACGATCACAAAAAATAGCTTTCACTTTTTCGCATCCCATTGCAAAACGAACAAACCACGTTTCGCGAATCACGAAATCACTTTCTTGGGGATTCTATCACAAAAACCGACATTATCGATTTATACATTTAGCTTTCTTCGGCTTCCACTAAAACCGGTAAACTGGCGTGATGATGACAATTAGACGATTTATTTGGGGCGAAGGCTAATAACCACGCTTCTATATCCCGCTCTGAACACAGGAACTTAGCGCTTATCGTGTTATCATATCCTTTTTGTCTCACAAAGAATCCGCTGTTCGAATCCACTCGCTCTACACTTGTATTCCTTAAATTGACAACACCAATCGACTTTGATAAACGCTTCCTTGGATATATAACGGCGAAGTGCTCCAATGACGTTCTGTAGACAACCACGCGGACGTCCTGGCGCATGCCTCCTGGCCCCAGCAGCACAAGGAATCCGGATTTGACTTCGGCATCGCAAGCCTTCTTGTATGCTCTACCGAAGTTTTCAGCGCGACAGCTAGATAGTACATTAGTCGGCATTTCACTGTTTCGATTACCACAGGCTCGCATCACGCGTTATTGTCCACGCGAGACAACCTCCTGCCGTTGTGTCTGAACCAAACTGAAATCATTTTCCGAACGTTTGTACTTAATGCCACGAAGTTATTTCGGACGCGTTCGGCGTAATTCGGTTTTGCGTTCACTTGTCGGAGGTTTATCGGATAGATCAAATTGTTAATTCTATTTGCAAAAAAGCAGCCTGTCTGCCAGAATGTCTGCTTCATTATAATAGAACAAAACGAACATTCTAGAGATACCTTTTTTGTACAGTTTGTTCTATTTGCGAAAAAATTCAAGGTACCTCAGCAACACTGGAATAGTTAAAGAAATTACTTTAACCTTTTTCTTTTTGTTAACACTTAAATGGTACATATAAAACAGTAAATGCTTAAACATTTTAAGTAAAGTTTAAGAATAAGTGTCAGGTTTTTTATAACCTAGTGGTAAGTAGATACTGCAACCCTTGGATACCCGCAACTAACCCTGGTGGTTCTAACGAGCACACAGTCGAACAGATGGTAAGTGGATGCTGTGGCCAATAGACATCTAAATCGATCCTTGATTAGAAATCAAAATCCAGACACCCCTAAGCACTAAGATGGAATGTCTCGCTTCCAATTAAAAGGGTCTCTGGTTCTTTATACTCAAGAGGTAAAATTTTGCTACTGTTTCACTCTATAATAGCTCTACAATAGAAGAGTACTAGTTTATAACAGTAGACGCTTTCGGGTTCTTGGTTTCCCTCCATTCTTAAATAAGAATTAAAATGTCACCAGTAAAAAGAGTCTTCGCATTACGCTGCAATTTCCGCTTGTATTCTATGAGAGCACCGGTCGATGTGACCAATTCGTGCTACAACCATAATATAGCTGGAGCGTGGCTCTCCCAGGTAAAGAAAACAAGCGGTTTATCTCGACCAGGGAAGCACCGAGCTCTTACAGGATACCAACGTGAAATAGCAGCATAATACTAACCTTTTTATATGGGTTGTCGACAACCAAAAACTTTTATACTAGTAACGCGACATTTTTACGTGGTAGAGCTGCAGTTATATTAGTAGTATAGTTGTAGCACGAATGGGTCGGCTCGACCGGGGAAGGACCACGCTCTCACAGAATACCAGCGTCAAATAGTGGCTTAATGCTAATGTGTTTCATGTGACGAGTGTAGAGAACCGGAGACCATTTTTACTGGGAACGAGGCATTCCACCAAGTCCTCACGGATGACAATGCATCTGCATTTTTATTCATAATTGAGGATGGATGTAGATGTCTATGGGCCACAGCAACCACTTACCATCAGGTGGACTGTGTGCTCGTTTGTCATCCTATTCTATTAAAAAAAATTCGTTTCCTTCATTCCGTAGTGTTCAGGGCTGAAATTTCTTAATTAAAAATAAATTGTCTAATAGTCAATTACCATCTTTTAGCCTGTAAGTGTATTTTCAGTCTAATTTATTAACATAAAATGTGCATTAATATATGTAATTACTTTCAGTTAGAGTACTAATGACTATGAAAAATTATACATTCACGTAACAGAATTTTCTGTTATGACTGTTCTTCTGTTACGCTGAAATTTATAATGCCATCAAAAACATAACTTGTAAAAAAACCAAATCTCGCAACTCAGTTTTTCTATGGAAAAATTGTAATACCAAGTCGGTTAATTTATTCAGTCCCTACTTAAGGATGTGTCGGTTCTGTTCCATAACGGAAGAAACGTCTCTACACATCCTAACTGATTGCGGATCTTTAATGCGCAAACGTAACACTCATCTGGAACACTTCTACTCCGCCCAGAAGAAGTGAAATTGCTCACGGCTAAGCAACTCCTTCGATTCATTGAAGATAAGTAGCAATATAGCCATAGCAGCGATCACAATAGATCTTCTAGGTCGCAGTGATACTGGTCTCTTTACCTAGACCTGCATAGCTGCTCGCACATAATAAAAAAAATAGGGGTTCTTCTGTTTTAAGTTATTACGTAATTAGCTAATCTAACAACATCTTATAGTAACCATTTCAATATTAAAAATCTTTTATGATTTAAATAAATAGATATCCTTTTTTCATCTTTCGTAGGGTTGACTAGTAAAAAAAGGTCCTTTGTAACCCCTATTTGAAGGTGTGCTGCAATAAATGATAGATAAATAAATAAAAAATAACATTTATAGGTCGTACATTATCGTAGCGAAAGATCGTCGGTCAGTCGTATATTACATATTATAGAGGTCGGTCGTACATTATATATTATAGATATATTATAGAGCGTGCTCATGCGATGCTTGAATCTTATTTTGTTAATATCGAAAAAATACTATTGCTAGAAAATAATAATTTTCTTTATAATGATTTACGTATAGAACCTCCATACAAAAACAAAAAAATACAGAAGGGGGAGCGTTACAATAGTACGTTTACTGTTGTCTAGACTCTAGACGACAGCGGGTCGTAGGCATACCTGACCTTTCCATAAAAGGTCGATGCCTTTACGTCAGGCCTTTACGTACTTTACGTCAGGTTATGGCCTCGGTGCGAAGAACATACAATTATATCAATTTATAGATTTATAAAAAACTAGTGCATTGATATTCTATTATTTTTAGAAATACTGAATGTGTTTCTTTTTTCTTTTGAAAGAAGGAATCGCAACGGGCTGAATTGAATGGTTTTACAATTGTCAGTCTTTGCGAAAACACAAATTACAATCTATTATTATATCTCGTTCTATGTCGTTAAGATTACTTCGGACGTTTTAAGTGGACAAAGCATATATTATAATGAAGTTTGGCAAGAACAGTTTGGCAGACTGTAAAACTGTAACTGTGTGATTTTTTTATTATGTTAAATAAATAAATCAAATAAAAAAATATATAATAGCCGGATGCTGATCGCTGTACCAGACATCTTGCACTTCTGATACAGTTTCGCCGATCTGTGTATATCACATCTGCTTCAAATTTCAGATGGTTATCGTCTTCGGAGGCTACGACGTTTGGTATTCACCTAAATGGACTGAATGAAAGGACAATCACAGTTCCTGGATGATAGAATCTTCTTAAGCCTCTTCCTGACGGTGAGGACATTGTAAGATGAAAGTCCTGTGGGTGTCATAAGAGGCGACAGAGGGAAGCTGAAACAGGAGTTTGGCAGCAGCATCTTTTTGATAACAGCACAAAATAATTAAAAATTTACAGTTGCCAATCCGCCAGCCAAGCATGGCAATGGAGTTAATCTATGAGAGAGGCCTTTGTTCAGCGGTGGACTTTTATAAGCTGTAGTGAATTAATTGAATAGGTATATTCATCATCATCATCATCATCATCATTACAGCCCTTCACAAGTGCACTGCTGAACATAGGCCTCCCCCAAGTAATGCCACAAAGCACGGTCCTGAGCCACCTGCATCCATCGACTTCCTGCATGTCTTACCAGGTCGTCACTCTATCTAGTGGGGGGTCGCCCTACACTACGCCTACCGGTACGAGGCTGCCACTCGAGAACCTTTCTTCCCCATCGGTTATCGGTTCTTCGAGCTATATGGCCGGCCCATTGCCACTTCAGCTTACTAATCCGTTGAGCTATATAGATATATTAAAATCGATATTAGCATAAATGTGAAAGGAATATCATAAAGTGGTTGACATTTGTTTTTTTTTTTACAATCGCTCACTAAATGTCAAGTACTTAAACATGTTTTTAGACTTTCAAAACTTAAGCCAGCATCTTTTATGTTTACTTAACTTACTAACTGAACATCGTCAAGCCGGCTTAGTAACTATCACTTTTATATATTTTATATATTAATTATATCATCTAGAGTCGACGAAACTCTACTGCAACGTCTTGTAACACGTTTTGAGGTTTATCTGAACAATTCCAATCACTTCAATGAAAATTCTTGATTATTATTGTATTGGATGATTCATAGATGCGGTAACAAAGGCCAGTCATTTGACTCTGTAGAAATTAATAACTCGAGATAGAAAATATATAACAACGTTTATTGATCCGTAAAGCATTACAAACTGATTATAAAAGAAATCAAATTCCGTTACGTCATAAATACAAAAAGGAACTACTTGAATGTTTCGTTCAGAGACTTTACTCCCTTAAACAGAAATCAACCCCATCTTAAAAGCACAATAAGCCAGTTTTGAGTATGGTGTTGCTTTGGTAAGGACATCAGCTGCCATCGTATCCGTCTGTATATACTAAACATCACTGGTCCCTTGAACAATTTTATCACCTACAAAATGGTGCCTCACATCTGTATGCTTAGTCCAAGAATGATAGCCATTGAAACCTGAAAGGTTGATAGAGCTTTGATCATCGCTGTGTATAATCATTGCCTCATTCTTCAGTAGAGGCCTAAATGCTTCTTGAAATTGCTTCAGCCAACATAGCCTCTTGTACACAAGATGACAAAGACTGGTGTCGCCACTGCTTCATTTGTCGATTGACTAACAGTAGGCTGGCTTGTTCCAGCTGATTACTCCTCTCTTAAACAAGAATGTGTAACCACTGCAGGAACGTCGGTCATCTTCTGAGCTTGCCGTTTTAATCGATATAAGGATTTCTTCAATCTTACTTTTATTACTGCTGAAAATACTTCTGTATAATCTATCCCCGGTTTATGTAAACAACCGAGCCTTTATCCATTTTCATCATTCTTAAAATCCCAATTGCATAATATGGGACGTTTATTGTCTGGACGAGTAGTAATTCCCCGAGTATTATTTTCGAACATAGAATGATACACCTCATCCACTGCTGCTTCCCAATACTCAGCATCAGAGCCCGACAAGGCTTCTTCAACAGTAAGTGAATCTGAGATCTGTTGAACACACATGAAATATTATGCCTGTGATGAGATCTTAAAGTAACTTTTCTTGTGAAACTATCAGCAGCATCATCTTTTATATCATTATTTGTACCGGGATAATAAGTTTCATGCATCAGTAATTCGATTTAGC